CTCTCTGACTCAGATTTCTTATCAGCAGAGTGAAACACTAATGCTCCTCTCAGAGGGACGTTGCAAGGATTAGATGAGATAATGCCTGGAAAATTCTTAGCACACTTGTAAAACTGTATAAATATGAGCTCCCTGATCTGATCAGTCTCTTTCTCTGGTGACTGTTTTTATATTAACTATAAAGTATTGTCCCCAGGGAGGCCTTCTTTGAAGAGCACCTAAACCTAATATTTTCCCCACAAAGAGTATCCCAGTCTCTTTCTCCTCCAAATAGCCACCCAGAGCCCAGTTTTCTTGGTCCCAACTGTCTGGTCTGCGTGCCTGCTTTAATTCAGGAAGGCTGTATCTGAATGAGCCATCTCTAGACCTGGCCTCCCCCAGAAACCACCTGGGCTGTTCCTAGCATCAGTAAACACCTAGTACGGTCCCGGAGATTCTGACTCCTTAGGTGTGACATCCAGGAACGAGCATTTTCAAGATTATCAGAGTGACTCCAATGGAGAACAGAGCTTCAAATGTCGGACTTAAACCGGTGGTGCTGAGCGAATCAATCAGTCAGCAAGCGATAACGAATTAACAGAGACGACTGAATGAGTCAGTAGGAGACAGTGATAAAGGGAGGTGAAGAGAGATGGATGTGTAAATGGGTAGAGAGAAATAGGTGATTGTATTTTTCCCCCAGATACACGTACCTGTGCTCTGGTCTCTAAAATGTTCTATTTGTTCTGTGGCTTTCAGAGCAGCAGGCTCAGCTACTCCCATCCCTTCCCGGGCCCCAGTTTTTCACTTTCCTGGAACCTGTCTCTCCATCTCCTTCCCAGTTTCCCACTCCATTCTCCCTTTTTCTTTACTACTGATTGCCCCCTCCAATGTGCCCTCTCACCTTTACTGAAACAGCCACAAACTGCAAGTTCCTGCATTTCTTTCAAGGCACTTTCAAATGAGGAGGCTTTGGACACAGCAGTTACACAAAACAGTTTTATTTGATGAACCACAGTGACTAACAAGATCAGAAAAGAACACATTCTTAAGCAAGGGTGGGGG